GGAGGAGGGCCAGTCTGAGTCCCTGATGGCTACAGCTGGAGGGAGCCAGCCTGCCGTGGACATGATGGCTGGGAGGAGGGCTTAAGGAGCCTGGGGCGGTGGGTGGCAGCTGAGTCTGTCCTGGGGAGGGCTGGGGGCTGCGGGACACCAAGCCCAGGGAGGCGTTGTGGGTCAGAGCCTTGGACCTCCCGAGATGCAAATCAGCTGTCCCAGACAGCGAGCGGGGAGCCCCATTCACAGCCCGACCCGGCTGTAGGCACAGCAGCCAGAGCTCAGGCTGGGGAAAGGCCCTTCTGTGAGGGCGCAGGAGGGGTCTGACCTGAAGGGCAGGAGCTGAAAGGGGACGAGGAGAGAAATGGGTTTGCCCGGTGCTGGCCAAAGCGCTCTGGGAGGACCCCTCCCTCCCAGGCACTCCCTGCTCTCGGCTGGCTGGGGCTCGGCCATGGGGCCGCCGTCCCCATCGCATCTGACCGCCACCCCTCTCCCCGGCCGCAGGCTTCACTGGGCACCTGTGTCAGTATGACGTGGACGAGTGTGCAAGCACACCCTGCAAGAATGGCGCCAAGTGCCTGGATGGGCCCAACACCTACACTTGCGTGTGCACGGAAGGTGCGGGGCTGCCCAGTGGTCCCGGGCAGAGGGAGGAAAAGCAGACGTGTAGGGTCCAGGGAAGGGGAAGGTTGGCAGTCGAGGCTGGGAGGGGACCCCTCAGTCTGGGGCCTCTGGTCCAGGGGCCAAAAGCAAAGCGGGGCTCTAACCCTGGGCAACAGGGGGCCATCCCGAGACACAGCCCCAGTCTTCCCCAGCGAGAGCATCAGTGACTCTCGGTCTGGTTGGTGGTGTCCTGGGACGGGACGGTGGCAGGCCCAGCAAGCAGCCACCCTGAGCCCCCCAGCCCCCGCCCTACAGGCTACACGGGGCCCCACTGCGAGGTGGACATCGACGAGTGTGACCCTGACCCCTGCCACTACGGGTCCTGCAAGGATGGTGTCGCCACCTTCACCTGCCTGTGCCGGCCGGGCTACACGGGCCACCACTGCGAGACCAACATCAACGAGTGCCACAGCCAGCCCTGCCGCCACGGGGGCACCTGCCAGGACCGCGACAACGCCTACCTCTGCTTCTGCCTCAGGGGGACCACAGGTGCCTGGCCGGGGCTGGGCGGTGGGGCTGGGGCTGGGAGGGCGGGATTGACACCTCCGACCCCCCCCTACAGGCCCCAACTGCGAGATCAACCTGGACGACTGTGCCAGCAGCCCCTGTGACTCGGGCACCTGCCTGGACAAGATTGACGGCTACGAGTGTGCGTGTGAGCCGGGCTACACGGGTGAGCCACCCGGCGCGGGGCCCCGCGGGGCGCTACCTCCCCTGCCTTTGTCTCCGCCTTGCCGAGGGACCAAGACCCCTCTGATCTACAAAAGTGATGTGGGACCCAGAGGGCAGGATGGTGTAGGTCACTGTCCAGGGCTCAGCTGTCAAGCCGCCCATCTTGGCCAACAGCAGCAGAGACCGTGAAAGGGCTGGGGCTCCAGCTGGCGTGGGGATGGCCATCTTCAACCTTCTTGTTTCTGCTCAGACGCAGCCCAGCAGGGCAAGAGTGGAGCCGGGCTCCCGGGAGCATGTTCTGCTGTCCTCTGCCTTGAGCTCTGCCAGAGCCTTCAGGGCTTCAGCCCTTGTCGGCCAGTCTGTGCCCCCAAGACCTCAGAGGGGAGAGCTCATGTGGGTGCCTGGTCTGGGCCTCAGGAGGCCCTGGGGAGGGGGTTTATGGGAGGGCTCAGACGCCCCTCCCCGGGATCCCTCCTGCCCTTGCTCCTGTGGGGGTGAGCACGGGTGCCTGAGCCCCGCCCCTGCCCCGCCCACAGGGAGCATGTGCAACATCGACATTGATGAGTGTGCGGACAGCCCCTGCCACAACGGGGGCACCTGTGAGGACGGCGTCAACAGCTTCACGTGCCGCTGCCCCGAGGGCTACCACGACCCCACCTGCCTGTCCGAGGTCAACGAGTGCAACAGCAACCCCTGCATCCACGGGGCCTGCCGGGACGGCCTCAACGGGTATGGGCCGGGGCACAGCCACCCGATGCGCCACGTCCTCGGAAGCGCTGCCCCAGGGAGGGGGCTGCTCGGTGGCCGGCGGGTGGCAGGCCAAGGAGGTGCCAGCGCAGAGCTCCCACGGGCCAGCAGTGGGCCCCTGGCTGAGTGGGAGGGCGCTCCCCCAAGCACTGACCTGCTGCCAGGGCCCCAAAATGTGCCATCCGGGCACAGCTCCTGGTCTGTGCCCATCGCTGTCCTGGGCTCCGCGTGGTCACGGGCCACTTCGGGCTCAGGAAACATGTTTGTGCCGAGGCAGCAGCCGGGGTTTCTGTGACGTTGTGTCACAGTGAGAGACGATTATTTTGGTCTTTGTCCTGGTTCCTGCAATCACTCAGGTGTACAAAAGTGGAAGGGGCAGCTTCTGTTATTTGTCAAAGTCCCTTTCAACTGCACCTGAGTTTAGGAGGCTGCTGGGTCACCTCGGTGTGAGGCTGGGTGCCCAGACCCATGTGATGAGGGGGCTGGATCTTGGGGTCCCACCCTGACCTGCAAGGAGGAAAGAGGGGCTGCTGGCAGTGTGAGCTTCTCACCAACAGCCAGTGATGTAATCGGCCGTGCCTCTGTGAGGACACTTCCAAAAAAAATGCTCACAGGGAGTTCAGAGAGCTTCTGGGCTGGTGAACGCAGCTAGGACGGCAGAAGCTCTGAGCCCCTCCCCACGCCTGGCCCTGTGCACCCCTTCTGTATGACTGTGCCTGAGTATAACCCTTTATGACAAACCACTGATCAAGTAAGTGAATTGTCTTCCCGAGTTCTGTGAGCCGTTCCAGCTGATTGCGGAACTTGGGGAAGGCGTCTGATTCGGAGCTGCTTGGTCAGAAGTGCAGGTGACAACTTGGGACTTGGCGGTTAGTGTCTGACATGGGGCCAGTCTTATGGGACTGAGCCCTTAACCTGTGGGGCCTGCACTAACTGCAGGGAGTCAGTGGCCAAACTGAATTGTAGGAGACCCGGCTGGTGTTTGAGAGCTGGAGGGTTTGCTTGGTGTGGGAAGAAGCCCATGCGCACATGTTGTCAGAGTATTAGTGTAGAGAAGAAACACGAGCTCGCTTCTAGTTTTTGACGCTCATCACATGTGCAGCACTGCTCCGTCTCGATGGGGCCATTGAAATGGGCACGGACCCCATGTCCTCTTTTTGCACAGAGAGGGTAAGCACTCTTTTGAGGCCACACAACAAGTGAAATGGGCACTGTCCCCAATCTGGCTTAACAAACCCTCACCACCGTCTTGGACAAGGTGGGCTATTTAAAGGAGTTTAAAAGACTCTGAGGGTCAGAGTGGACCAGCATCTCCATACAATCAGATCATAGGATGGTGGCAAAGCTGGGAGTGTCCATAGCCTGGGCCCTCCGCTCTTGGGCCATACCTGAGCTGCAGTGTGGTCACCTCTGCAGGTACAAGTGTGACTGTGACCCCGGGTGGAGTGGGGCAAACTGTGACGTCAACAACAACGAGTGTGAGTCGAACCCCTGCGTCAACGGGGGTGCCTGCAAGGACATGACCGGTGGCTACGTGTGCACCTGCCGAGAGGGCTTCAGCGGTGAGTGGGGCAGGCGCTCCCAGCGCAGAGCGGGCCTGCTGGGGTGGTGGGGTGGGCAGTGCCGAGCCAGGTCACAGGCGTACGTCTGCTGGGGTCGGCCCCAGGCCGTGCAGTAGGGCCTGGCCATGGCACCCAGGGAGATGGATACACTGACTGCTGTCCCTCTCTCTCCAGGCCCCAACTGCCAGACCAACATCAACGAGTGTGCGTCCAACCCGTGTCTGAACCAGGGCACCTGCATCGATGACGTGGCCGGATACAAGTGCAACTGCCTCCTGCCCTACACAGGTGAGGGCAGGGTCTGTGCAGGGCCTGGGCGGCTCTCGGAGCGGTGGCTGAGGGCACGGTGGTGGGTGGAACCTTTGGTGGCAGAGCTGGGAGCTGGGCCTGGGCTGTGGGTTCATGTTCACACTGCCGTGGGCCCTGGGGCCAGGCCGTCCTCCGCATCCGCTGGCCGAGCCTCAGGGCTTTCTTTGATGGCGGGCCCTCTGTGTGTGGAGAACAAGGAGTCTTCTGCTGGCACTGTGAGCCGCAGGCGACGTGTCCCTGGTTGTCTCAGCTTCAGCCGTTGGCCAGGGGGTCACCCAGATATGGTCCCCTCCTTAGAAGAGATTCACCAAGTTTTGAAAGATAGAAGCCCACAACCACCTGGGCCACCAGGCCCCAGTGGGAGTGGGCAGAGGGTGCCACTACTGGGGACAGTTCTGGTCCTGGAGGTCCTGAGAGGGCCCTGCCTGGCCTGGCCGGCAGTGATGGGGCCCGTGACTGCGGTTCTCATGACATTGGGAGGCCCGTGGCCAGATCAGTGTTTTTTTTGAGCAAAGCTGGGAACCTGGACTTTCTCTCCTGCATCGGTGAACAAGCTCCCCTCGGTGGCTGTCCATGGGCCTCTGCGCCCAGGGTGCACCCCAGTCCTTTTCGACCACGTTGATATCGGAGGCGGGGGGCCAGCGGGGAGGAGCCGGCCTGTGCTGACCTGCTTCCCGTCTGCCTGCTTCCTGCTTCCCTCTGCACAATTGTCGGAAACTCTGGCGAATTTCCGGCCTGCCCAGGTCGCCGTGGAAACCGATAGAAAGAAAGGCCCTGGACAATCGCATGGAGGGGCCGGGGAGATAGCAGCCGTGAGGAAGATAATGCTTCCGTGCTGCCTGGGGACTCAGCCCCCATGGGCTGTAAACAGGAAACCCTCCATTGGGCAGTGAAGGAAAAGTCACCGGTGTGCGCAGTCCTGGCCAGACTCCCATCCCCGTCCCAGGGGTCCTGACGCCGCACCCGATGCCCCCCCATAAGTAGGACGTGCTTGAGGCTGAGGCTGACATGTCCCCCGTCCCCCGGCAGCAGCGGGCTCGTCCCTGCTGTCACGGCCTCTGTTCAGTGGCCCCCCCCGTGACGGGCACTTGCTGCCTGTGATACAGAGCCCCTGGGGTTAGATCCTAGGCTACCCGCTGGGTGCAGGGCTTTCTGCCACCAGGAGGCGGGGCGGGGCGTGAGGTGGGAGCAAGTCCAGGGCCCCGCGATGTTGTGGAGGGCGCAGTCTGATCCCAGTCCTTACTCCTGGTGCTCTTGGCGCGGTGAGACCCAGGCAGGGTCCTGCAGCCTCAGAGGGCGCCAGGAGTTCACCTGATTTGTCTTCAGTTCAGTGTTCACACAGGGCCCCAGAGCAGCGCCATATGCCCTCCTGCGGGGCCACCCAAATGTGTTCTGATAGTGGAACGACCGGCAGGCCATGGCCACGTGGCCTCTGTCAGGAGGTGCCACAGAGCTTTGACCCTCTGGGCTGGGGCTCACCTCCTGTCCCTCCTCCCCTCAGGAGCCACGTGTGAAGTGGTGCTGGCTCCGTGTGCCCCCGCGCCCTGCAGGAACGGCGGCGAGTGCAGGGAGTCTGAAGACTATGAGAGCTTTTCCTGCGTCTGCCCCACAGGCTGGCAGGGTGAGCTGGCCTGCTCCCTGCGGCCCTGGCTCGGGCCAAGTCCCAGGAGGCGCTGGGACAGGGAGGATGGGAGGTCCAGGGCACACAGGCATCTCCGGAGTGAGAGTTAGCAAGCTCCCTCTTTTTGGAGATGAGCCAGGGGGCTGCAGAAGAAGGAACTGACCTTGCTGAGCCCTTCCAGACTTGAACATCGAAATCCTGCTTGGCCCCAAATTGGGGGACACCAAGTCGGAGGGCCCTTCCTTCTCGGGATGTCCCCAGAGGACCATCCTCCAGCTGCGGAGGCCCGGCTTCTCGGGGGCAGGGGAGAGGCCTGTGGGGCGTGGGGCTAATCTGACTGCCCCCGCTCTGCCTGCAGGGCAGACCTGCGAGGTCGACATCAACGAGTGTGTTAAGAGCCCGTGCCGCGGCGGCGCCTCCTGCCAGAACACCAACGGCGGCTACCGCTGCCACTGCCAGGCCGGCTACACCGGGCGCAACTGCGAGGCGGACATTGACGACTGCCGGCCCAGTGAGTGGCCGGGGCGGCGGGACCACCAGGCCATCCTGCCCACTCCAAGACTCCCGGACCTGTCTCCCCAGGCGGGCTTAGGGCAGGGAGCTTGTCAGGGTCGGACGGGAGGGTGGACATGGAGCACCTGGGGCGGGGTTGGCCCAGACAGTGTCCGGCATCTCTCCAGGGAGGCCTGGCCCCCTCGGTCCAGCTGGGCCCCCCGGGAGGGAGTGCTGGGGACCGAGCATCACTGTGGGCCTTGCATGGACCGAGCTGGGTGGTTCCAGGTGGCCTCTGAGGCTCTCGAGCCAGACTGCAGGGCTTCAAGCGCGTCCCAGCGTCTCCCAGCCAGATTCCAGGACTCCTCATGCGCTGCTATGCCCGGCCCCTGTTCAGCATGGTGCTTGCTAGTCCTTGTCCCGACCACCCCCAAGCCTGGTTCACAGACCTCTGGGGTCCAGAGAAGCCAAGTATCTTGTCTGGCGTCACTGACGAGCAGGAAAGGCTGACCCCAACCATGATTTGTCTCCTTGTTAAGCCTGTGTGTCCTTCTCCGGCTCTTGTGACCTGGGGACTGGGAGCGTATGGGGGTGTATAGACCCCAAGTACAGAAGAAGGGCCGCCGTGCAGCCTTCCAGGTCAAGGACTTCTGGCCAGACCCCTCTGTGGCAGTGGGGGCAGTGCCAGGAGCCCTCCCACTGTTGGTCGCCTAGGCCGTGGGGGTGGTGCCCACCCCTCAGGCCTGTCCTCCTGTCCCCTCCAGACCCATGCCACAACGGGGGCTCCTGCACAGACGGCATCAACACAGCCTTCTGCGACTGCCTGCCTGGCTTCCGGGGTGCCTTCTGCGAGGAGGATGTCAACGAGTGCGCCAGCAACCCCTGCCGCAACGGTGCCAACTGCACTGACTGTGTGGACAGCTACACCTGCACCTGCCCTGCTGGCTTCAGCGGGATCCACTGCGAGAACAACACACCTGACTGCACAGAGAGGTGCGTGGGGCTGCGGCCATCAGCACAGGTGCCACACAGGGCGGTCCTGCTCCAAGGGAGGGCCGGGGGCAGGTGGGATGCACAGCGTACAGCAACCGGTGCCCCAGAGCAGGTTTCCGCCCAGTCTAGTTGAGTTAGATGTTGTTTGTTGTGTTGCCATGTTCCTCCTGGAAGGGCCATTGTCCACTGACCAGTGTGACTTGGAAGCAGTGACCCTGGTAGTTTATCCTGAGGAACTGGACCAAGGACCTTGTAGCCCATCTTGTTTCCCTTTTTGCCTTGGCTGCCAGGAAGCTCAGTATGAATGTCATTCTTGCCTCTTTTTACATAATTATCTTCTACGTTGTCTATGTAGTTCTGTTTTCTCTCTCATTTTTTATCTTAACCACTCTTTACCTTAATGTGTTATAAAGCCCCTCTCAAAGTGAATTATAAAGAAGGCCAAGGAGAGGGTATGACATGATATGAGAGAGCCTGAGGTCCCTGGCCCTGCATTGGGGACCTCCTGGGACTCCTGTTGGCCTCCCGAGGTCAGCCAGGCTGCTCCTGGCCTGTCCTGGCACTCAGGCCCCCTGGCCATGCTGCATCAAGAGGAAGAGGCCAGCACGGAGGCACCTGCTTGGGCACCCTGCTCACCTCCCCACCGCTGCCTACCCTCCTCCAGCTCCTGCTTCAACGGCGGTACCTGCGTGGACGGCATCAACTCCTTCACCTGCCTGTGTCCACCTGGCTTCACGGGCAGCTACTGCCAGCACGACGTCAACGAGTGTGACTCTCGGCCCTGCCTGCACGGTGGCACCTGCCAGGACAGCTATGGCACCTACAAGTGCACCTGCCCGCAGGGCTACACGGGCCTCAACTGCCAGGTGAGGGGGGCCGTGCGGCCGGGCCTGCCCACATCGGCTCCAGCTGCCCTCCCAGCCCCGGGTCACGGGAGAGTGCACCAGGCTCAGGGGGCGGGGATGGCCTCAGTCCGGTGGCTCCTGGGGATTTGGGCTGCCAGCCTGGTGCCCAGCCCTGGGCCCTGCTGCCAAGAAGTGGTGAACAGGGGCCTTCCAGGTCAGGCAGCAAAGCTTTATGGAGAACAAGGACTAGGTGACCCAGGGGAAGACAGCTAAAAGCTGGTGTTTTTATGGAAGGTATGTAAAAAAGTACTGGAGGTTTACCTTCGTTGAAGGTTTTCACATAAGATGCTGGTAACGGAAGAGTTCCAACAAAGTTGTTTACTTCTGAAGAAAAACTTTTCCTTGAAGGAAAGGCAGCTGGTGGTCCGGATTCACTGAGGGCCCAGAGCAAGAGAGAGATCTCCGCTCCACCCCAGGCTGCTCCCTAGCAGGGGGGGCCCAGGGGCCTCAGTTTCCATTTTCGTGGGACGGGGTCACGAGCCACCCTGGGCGGAGGTCTTCTGCCAGGTGGGCGGCCCTGTGGGAGCTGGCCTGGGTGGGGCTGCCGGAGTGAGGCTGAGCGCTGCCTTCCCCAGAACCTCGTGCGCTGGTGTGACTCCTCGCCCTGCAAGAACGGCGGCAAGTGCTGGCAGACCAACACCCTGTACCGCTGCGAGTGCCACAGCGGCTGGACCGGCCTCTACTGCGACGTGCCCAGCGTCTCCTGCGAGGTGGCTGCATGGCAGCAAGGTAGCTGGCTGCGTCCCGCCCTGGCCCAGGCTTCGCGGTGCCCCCAGTACGGGAGCCCCGGCCTCACACTCCCCGCCGCGTGCCCTGCAGGCATCAACGTCACCCACCTGTGCCGGAACGGGGGGCTCTGCATGAATGCGGGCAACACACACCACTGCCACTGCCAGGCTGGCTACACGGGCAGCTACTGCGAGGACCAGGTGGACGAGTGCTCGCCCAGCCCCTGCCAGAATGGGGCCACCTGCACCGACTACCCTGGCGGCTACTCCTGCGAGGTGGGGACCTGGCCTTCACGAGGGTGTGCGTGTCTGGGTGGGGGGAGGGGTGTCACCGAGGGCCAGGCCCTGGGCTGAGAGCCAGTGCAGCGGGGAAAGGCAAGCCCGATAGCTGTGTATCCCTTTCAGTCCCACTAAGGGAGGGCTGGGGCAGTCAGGAAAGGCTGCCTGGAGGAGGAGTCCTGCGGGGGCATCTGGAAGAGAAAGAATATGCTGAGAATTGGGACAGGGTTTCCTCTCCCCCAGATCTGCCATGGGGCCCTCCTCTATCCTAGGGGACAGGGCCTAACCCCCAACTTAGGCTGTGAACCACAGCCTACTGGGGCCCTTCCTGGGGTCTCCATCTGGGTCCACCAGGTGTGAGGAACCCACGGCTTTGCTAAACAAGAGGGCAGCTCACGTGGCCCTATCAGCCTGCACAGGGGGTGGGGGGCTGCACCCTAGCTGCCCACTGACCACAGGCCCTGCCCCTGGCGGTCCCCTGCAGTGCGTGGCTGGCTACCATGGGGTGAACTGCTCCGAGGAGATCAATGAGTGCCTGTCCCAGCCGTGCCAGAACGGGGGTACCTGCATCGACCTCACCAACACCTACAAGTGCTCCTGCCCCCGAGGCACACAGGGTAGGCGCTGCCACACCCCAGGGCCAGGCGCCGGGGAACTCGGGCGGGCACAGGGCTGACCAGGAAGGGGCTGAGAGAGGGAGCCTGCCGGATTAGCTGCCAGCATCCTTCTGGGCATCTGTGGTCCCAGTCCTGACCCCTGACCGAGGGGGCACGCTTGGGAGGAGTGGGGCTGGTGAGCAGCCAGCACAGGGTCTGATGGTACCGGGCCCCTGCAGGCGTGCACTGCGAGATCAACGTGGATGACTGCAGCCCCCCCATCGACCCCATCTCCCGGGGCCCCAAGTGCTTTAACAACGGCACCTGCGTGGACCAGGTGGGCGGCTACAGCTGCACCTGCCCGCCCGGCTTCGTGGGTGAGCGCTGCGAGGGCGATGTCAACGAGTGTCTGTCCAACCCCTGCGACACCCGCGGCACCCAGAACTGCGTGCAGCGCATCAACGACTTCCACTGCGAGTGCCGTGCCGGCCACACCGGTGAGTGCCCTGGCCGGGGCCGGGGGTGGGAGCCGGGGGTGGAGGGTCAGCCCCTCACGCGCGCTCTCATCCCCAGGGCGCCGCTGCGAGTCGGTCATCAATGGCTGCAAGGACAGGCCCTGCAGGAACGGGGGCACCTGTGCCGTGGCCTCCAACACTGCCCGTGGGTTCGTCTGCAAGTGCCCCGCGGTAGGTGCTACCAGGGCAGGCGGTGGGGAAGGCCCTGCGCGGCCGAGGGCTCCCTGGTCTGAAGGTGACAGGAGAATGTTCTCGCTCAGTGCATCTTGGGGTGGAGGGCCCTGAGCCTGGGCTCGTCCCCCTGCCAGAGGGCAGAGGCTGGCTTGAGTGTCTGACTCCATCCTCCTCGTTCTCTTCTAGATCATGTGTTTTGTGTCAATAAACTACGTTCATAGCAGCTTCAGGGTTATAGAAAAGCGGTGCAGGAGAGTCCCCACGCACCCTTCCCACCACACCCAGGTTCTCCCGTTACTAGCGTCTTGTGGTTGGATGGTACACTGTTACAGTCCCAGCGCTGATACATCGTTAAGTCCGTTCCTGGCGTCCGGCCTCCTGTGGGCTCTGATGTAGGCCCGGTGTCACACTTCCACCAGAGCAGCGCCACGTGGAGGTTTTAGTGCCTAAAATGTACCCCTTGCTGTGCCTCTGCTCCTTCCCTTCCTCCCTCCCGGCCCATGGCAACCCCTGAGTGTTTTTTGTTGAAAGGCTTTCTTTCAAGGATTCGTGCTCCCAGGGAAAGACTGCCGGCCCTTCTGGGTGGGCGGATGCGTGGCTCAGCCAGGCCTGGGTGCGTCACAGCCCACCCTGACGCCCCCTGCCCGCGGCCTTTCCCCCGGCAGGGCTTCGAAGGTGCCACGTGTGAGAATGACGCTGGCAGCTGCGGGAACCTGCGATGCCTGAACGGCGGCACCTGCATCTCAGGCCCGCGCAGCCCCACCTGCCTGTGCCTGGGCCCCTTCACCGGCCCCGAGTGCCAGTTCCCGGCCAGCAGCCCCTGCATGGGCGGCAACCCCTGCTACAACCAGGGCAGCTGCGAGCCCACGCCCGAGAGCCCCTTCTATCGCTGCCTGTGCCCCGCCAAGTTCAATGGGCTCCTGTGCCACATCCTGGACTACAGCTTCGGGGGCGGCGTGGGCCTCGACATCGCCCCGCCGCAGGTCGAGGAGGCCTGCGAGCTCCCCGGGTGCCGCGAGGAGGCCGGCAACAAGGTGTGCAGCCTCCAGTGCAACAACCACGCCTGCGGCTGGGACGGCGGCGACTGCTCACTGAACTTCAACGACCCCTGGCAGAACTGCTCGCAGTCGCTGCAGTGCTGGAAGTACTTCAGCAACGGCCACTGTGACAAGCAGTGCAACTCGGCCGGCTGCCTCTTCGACGGCTTCGACTGCCAGCGTGCGGAAGGCCAGTGCAAGTAAGGCCAGCAGGGATGGCTGCTCCTCACGGCACGGGAGGAGGGAGCCACCACTCACCACTCACCACTCACCACTCACGGGGCGGGGAGAGGGGGTTGAGAGAGTGGGCAGAGGCGGAGGGAGGACCCTGAGCGCCCGTGCAGAATGGCGTGCGGCCAGAGGCTGGCCAAGGGTCTCCCGGTGGACAGGGGCAGGCACAATTCCCTGGATGTGGCCCGGGGCGGGCAGCAGGATGGAGGTGGGCAGGTTGTGGCTCCGGGGCT